ATTGGACATGTTTTTGAGAAAATAATGTCACTGTGTGCAGATAGAGCCACACAGAAGCAGTTCAGGCAGCTAGCTCCGGTCCTCTGTCTCTGCGTGATTCACTGCAGGTAATAATGTGCATTTGAAGCTACATGGCAATCTAAGCTTAACAGTTAGACAGTGGTGGAAGGAGTACTCAATTTCCATCCTTATGTAAAAAGTACAGATACCACATGAAAAATGTTACTCAAGTAAAAGTAAAAGTCATCCAGCATAAACCTGCTCAAGTAAAACTAAAAAAGTGCCTGGTTTTAAAAATACTTATGTAATCAAAAGTAAAAGTACTACACATAAAATCTATTGATCTTACAAAACACAGTCTATCTTTTTAAATTCACTCAAGACAAGTTTGAATACAGCATTCAAAGTTACAATGAATCACAATAAGGAAAACTGAGTTGCAAGAAGCAAAGTGGATATTTCCTGTAGGTGGGAAAGATAAGTCTGCGTTATTTCTCTCCTCTCCTCTCTCTCCTCTTGTGGTAGTATCCCCTTCAGACTGTCTGACAGACACAGAACTTAATTTGGGACTTGGGTACGTTAAGATGAGACAAGGAGGCGGAAACCAAAACTAACTGAAGACACTTCTCAACTCACAATCTCACCAAAAATCCACACATGTTAACTTCAGCACCTCTCATAAAGTGCAGCTCACAGTCCCACAGAGCAAGACTGGCTTCAGTTTTCAGATGTTTATATTGCAAAATGCTACCAGCTACGTTACCGCTCGGTCACAAACTGGCAGTGACTCACAGTGCAAAAACAGAGTTGCTGCACAGTCACACCTGACACCACAATGCTCTCACTACAATCCTCCCTCTGTAAAAAGCCTGAATAGAAACCTTTTCTAGAAAAAAACAGTGCTGGTTTGAATGGATCTAGCTTATCTAGACCTCTCTGGTCCAATCTGCTGTGTCATTTGGTGGATCAGCAACTGTTCCATTAGTGTCTGAGCTGCTTGTATCTGATGCTGGCTGTACATCTCTGGCTGTGCTCGCACTGGCTGAAGCTGCCTGTTTTTCACCTGGGTCTGTGGGACCTGCTAAAGATGTCTGGACTGGGTCTGTGCTGGTACAAGCTGAAGCTGGATGTGGATCAGCTGTGCTTGTACTGGCTGACTGGCTGGAGTTTGTTCCTGTACTAGCTGATGATCCAGCATCTACTCTACCGACAAACTTCAGCACAGCCCCTGTAAATTATAAATATTTTCAAATATAAAATTCTGTTCATAAAATGACTGAGCTGAATATGTGATGCTTATTATTTACTGAGATGTGCATCCATATAGCCCAGTCTGTCAGCTAATCAACATATTAGTCAATGTGAATCCACTGCTTCCCACCAGAGTTGTAACTAAACTTCACTGTCTTGTTTTAAAATGATGCATGAGGTGTGCCCTCACATCCTGTCTGCACTGGTCCCACAAGTTTCTTGCTGGAATGTGCAAGTTTAATTTCTTGCACGCACATAACGCATTTCCACGAGCAACGCGGTCATCTTTCCTAGCTACTGTTTGTAAACACTGTGGCCTGTCTGCGTTGATCAAATGTAATAAAGAGTTGTATTTCAATCAACATTGTTCAGTCACAGTCTGAAGACCAACCAAGACACAGAAAGACAAGAGCTGCGCTGCTCAGCTGGTTAGCAGGACACACAGACAGATACTTGAACAGAAGAATTATTTAATGGACCAGTTGCCTTCAGCGGTTTTCTGTTCATCGTGAACAAATGATTTAAAATCCAGCTGCAGTCCTGTGTGAGGGCTTTAAGGAAAGTCTCAATCTGCAAAGTGTCGCTGGTGTTAGATGGTGTGTCTGCTGCGTTGATCTTTAGTGTACTTCTGCTTTGAGGTTTGACTTTGGAGCTAATAATATGTTGTGAAGGGAAGTTTGGTGGTATGCACTGCTGTCTGCATAGAGTCTCTTATGATATTACCACTAGGGGAGCAAAGTCAGAAATCTATATAAAAGAAATCAAACATAGATAGATGGATGACATAAAACCTGTCACCTCTACATATACATTTATTGTTTACATCAAAATACAGATGATTATGAAAACAGACCAAACATTTTGTAGAGTTTGACGTCACTCCCTGTTGGTAAATCAGTATTAACAATTTAAATACTACAATGACAAAAGACAGGCTTTATGGAGACTCTGAACAGTTTGTAGGTTCCTCTTTTGATAGAGAGATTCACTGCAGCTGCACTGACATCAGACTTTGAAAGGAGAAAATACATTTACCTGACTGCACTTCACTCTCATTGAGTTTTTTTCTATTCTTGAGCCTAGATGGACAGTCCATCCCATCCTCTCATCAAAGTTGTTTTAACCTATTAACCTACTGCATATGCCGGTGTCGGGTCAACTGGCTGAAGTTGATTCGAGCTGAGACGGCTTTACCAGTTGTACATTTATTTTTCAGTGCTGCTCCACTCAGGTACGCTACTAATACCAAGGTAATGAGGACTGTGCAGAATGTAACGAAGTAAAAAGTCAGATATTTGGCTTTGAAATGTAGTGAAGTGAAAGTAAAAAGTTGCAACAACAAAAAATAGTCAAGTAAAGTAAAGTACAGTAACGAAGTAAATGTTGTCTGGTTCATCTTTGTGATACAAGGCAAATCTTCGAACAAGACCGCCCAATCTGTCCTGTGCCACAAACTTCAGTGCAGTTTGAGTTGACAACAGCTGCAATGTTATTATTCTCTTCTCCCTCCCTGCCATTGTGTGGTAAGGTTAAGGGAGCCATAATTTGAGGTGCTGGGCCTGGATGCATTGCAGAGTTGTAGTTGACACTCTCACACACTGTGCACTTAACAGTAGTTGAACAGTCCTTTGCTAAATGTGTGGTTGAACCACAACACTTAAAGCAGATTCCTTTTTCTTTGAGAAATGTCTTTCTGTCTGTCAGACTTTTGGCTCTGAAGGATTTACATAGCCTGAGGGGATGTGGCTTGTCATGTAAGGGACAGCTTTTGTTTGGGTTGCTAACACTTTTCACGACACGGTCTGTGTCTGGACCTGTTGAGGACACATCTGTCTTGTTAACTGAAATGGGGTTCCTTGTGCTTTTGAAATTGTTTTTTTAGGTTTTACAGGTGAGGCACTGGCACTCAGGAAACCAAAGCTGGGGTCTTTCCTCTTCTGTGCTTTGTAGCATACAAACCTGGTGAAGAATTCAAATGGTGGAAATCGTCCTCCATTTTCTTCTTTAAGTCTCGAACCAGCGGCAGTTTTGCTACTATGGGTTCAATGCCACATACAGTATCCAGGTAGGACAGGGCCTCCTTGGCACACTGAAGTTTCATTAGCAAGTCTGCTAGTTTCCGTAGCTTTGCATGTTCTTTTCCTGAACTTCTAGGGAAATAATCAAGCCAATCGAAAAGAGCTTTTTTCTGGGGACGGTCGTAGGCTTTTTAACGTAGGTTTGTCACCTACGTAATATTGTGAAAATCAGGAACATCCTGTCTAAAAATGATGCAGAAAAACTAGTCCATGCATTTGTTACTTCTAGGCTGGATTACTGCAATTCCTTATTATCAGGCTGCTCGAAAAAGTCCATTAAGACTCTTCAGCTGATCCAGAATGCTGCAGCACGTGTTCTGACAGGAACCAGGAAAAGAGATCATATTTCTCCTGATTTAGCTTCTCTGCATTGGCTTCCAGTAAAATCCAGAATAGAATTTAAAATCATTCTTCTTACCTACAAAGCTCTTAATGGTCAGGCACCATCTTATCTTAAAGAGCTCATAGTACCTTAATACCCCACCAGAGCACTGCGCTCCCTGAATGCAGGGTTACTTGTGGTTCCTAGAGTCTCCAAAAGTAGACTAGGAGCCAGAGCGTTCAGCTATCAAGCTCCTCTCCTGTGGAACCAGGTTCCAGTTTGGGTTCAGGAGGCAGACACCATCTCCACATTTAAGAGTAGGCTTAAGACTTTCCTCTTTGATAAAGCTTATAGTTAGGGCTGGCTCAGGTGAGTCCTGAACCATCCCTTAGTTATGCTGCTATAGGCCTAGACTGCCGGGGGATTTCCCATGATGCACTGAGCTCCTCTCTCCTCTACTTTCTCTCCCTCTGTATGCAACGTCATCCCATTATTGCATGTTACTAACACAACTTCTCCCCTTTCCGGTAGTCTTGTGCTTTCTCGTCCCTCTCCTCTCTCCTCCTATCACTTCCTGCAGGTTTTCTGGCTCTGGAGCTGTGGAGTCTGGATCAGTGGTTGCGGGTCACCTGCTGTCCCCGTGTTCCTGTTCGACACCCTCTGCTGTTACTAGTCCTATTGTTATTATTGTTATTATAATCATTAACATTACGATTATTATCATTAACACTACTATAAATATCTGTACCATTTTTCATTTAGTCTATAGCAACATCACCTTTACTGTCTGTACCTCTGTGTGTATATTGTGTAGGCTGCCTCCCTCCCCTCTCTCTCTCCTTCCATCCCTCTCTTTTTCTCTCTGTTCCTCTCTTGCCCTCTCTCTCTCACTCTCTCTCTCTCTCTCTCTCCTTCACCCCAACCGGTCGAGGCAGATGGCCGCCCACCCTGAGCCATGGTTCTGCTCGAGGTTTCTGCCTCTTAAAAGGAAGTTTTTCCTTGCCTCTGTCGCCTAGTGCTGCTCTTGGTGGGAACTGTTGGGCTTCTGTAAATATCATCACAGAGTACGGTCTAGACCTGCTCTTTTATGAAAAGCGCTGTGAGATAACTGTTGTTGTGATTTGGCGCTATATAAATAAAATTGAATTGAAATTGAATTGAATTTAATGTAGTGACAAGCAGAAGAACACCGTGATGACGAAACGCGCTCTGTAGCGCTGTTTGTCCATTGTCAGCTACTGTAGAAACATGGTGACACAAAATGTTGACGTCCATAGAAAGGTGGACCTGCGGTTATTTAGATCGAAATGGCTCATTCTAAGTTAATAAAAACACAACAGTTCATTATGTAAGGTCTTTATACACCACTGAAAACATAGTTATGGATCTTATATTGCATTTCTGTCAATAAATCCACAGAAATATTCCACACTGAACATTTATAGAGCTGGAGATGGGATACATTTAGCCTAGCTTAGCATTAAGACAGACATTTCATTTATTTAACACTCATTGATCAACATTACTGTAATTGTGCCAGTGTTATCCAGATGACGTTGTGGAAACCCTTTGCCTGGCTCTGTCAGAAGAAAAATGTAATCTAATGTTAAATGTTAATGTTAAAGCTATTTTATACAAAGGAGGAATCAGTGATGTGTTGCATTTATTCTCTACGTCATGAACAGCCTGCAGCATCACTTTAAAGTCAAACTACCATAAAGAGGCCAAAGTTTGACCTACAAGAAAGATATAAAGTACCTGTGCATCAGGTTGGCAAGAAAATTTTATGTGTTCAGACCATGTTAAGATTAGGTTCTTTAAAGCATATCACACTCCTCTCTATACTGCCCCACTGCATCGACTGGATGGTTCTCATCAGCATTATTAAGCTGCAGACAAATCCTAGTAATAGGGTTGTACGAAACCAGTCACGTCTGTGGAAGCATTAGTATAAGGTCATATAAAATTTTTAAATGTGTTTTTGTATTTTAGGAGGTGTTGTGTGTCTATAATGTTGTATTTTTCTAATGAACCCCAAATCTGACAATAAAGTTGAACTGAACAGTAACAGAACAGAAAATGATGCCAGAGTATTGATAACTTATCACAAAATATTAAAATATGATATTGATTATTTATCCCAAACTGCTTAGAAACAGGTCAGATAAACAGATAAAACTTAACCATCACTTGTATACACTTACAGTAATCAAACATTCTCTTGGCCAATCAGTAACAATGTAAAATGTCACATACAGGAAACTGAGCAGTCTTGTTGGTCCCTTAAATGAATCTGATGATACACAAATCATAAACACTGCATCTCTAACAAAGCAGAAGAAAAGCACATTCAATGTTATCAAGTATGACTGCAGTGTTTAAAGAGATAAAGCCTTCTTTTTGCAGATCCATTTGTTTCTGGCACCACAGCTCACTGATTTCCATCCTTCTGTCTGGAAAGAAATTACACACTGACCGTTGGTAGCAGGTTGTTGTATCCAGGAGCTGAGGGAAGAACATGATGTTTAGATGCAGGCTGATAGATTTTATGCTTCAAAATGTTTATGAATGTGTCTCTTACTTTTCAGTCAGAACACTTCCATTGAGCCACTTCCATTTCCCATCTTCAGCTCTCAGACCAATCCAGTATCCAGTGGTTCCTGAACTGTCCCAGCTGTTAGCTTTGATGAATGTCTGACAACAGAGAGACAGTTATCAGATATTTAAACACTATACTTAAACACACTGTGGCCCACTGTGACTTCATGCAGCTTCTATTCTAAATCCTTTAAATCGGCTAACATATCCACACATTGATCTCCGTCTCTTTTTCTATCAAATGTACACATATTGGGAAATGCATGCAAAATGTGTTAAAATACAGAATTAAAACAGACGTCCTTTGTGCTGTATATCTCTAGCCGTATCAAGGTATGTATTAGGTTCTTCTGTGCATAAATATCATGATGTAGATTTTGATCAATATAGTCCACATTTATAATCCATGCAAATCATCCAAAATAAATAGTGTAGCATTTTCATTTCCATCTAAAATATATTACTGCCTGTATGTACTAATTGAATTAATTGGATTACATCTCAGAGAGAAATTTAATTTGAAACTCTTCTGACCAGAGGTAGGAGGGTTACAGTGTAGCAATATTATATTCCACTAATGTGTATGGTTTTTAGTTCTGCCTTGAAGTTGTGACAATCGTTGTTTGGTTAGCTGGGAATGCTGAGTTCCCACTGTGACACATCCCCCAGTGTGTCCCTGAGCACCTCACTTAACCCCTAGTTTCTCCAGAGGTGTGCAGACAAATATAGCAATTTTAAGTTGCTTTGGATCAAAGTGTCAACTAAATGAGAAAAAGCATCTTCTCATGCTGCTGCAGTTCACCTTTCATCAACCAACAGTAACTGTGATCATAATAACTGCCTGAGCTGTGATCATTGATGATGTCTGACAACAGAGAGACAGTTATCAGATATTTAAACTCTATACTTAAATAAAGACACTGTGGCCTACAGACTCTGTGTGTTCAGAGCTACAGAAAATATATTTGCATGTCATAGGCTGTCATAAAATGTTCACAGTTTACCTTCTCCGTTTCATCATCTATAACAACCAAATCTGAAATCTTTCCTCTGCAGTTTTCTCGAGCTTCTTCCCAGGTTTTCTGACCAGAAACATCAGGGTCATTAATTGCATAGCAGCTGGACTGGAAGAGTATCCAGCCACCCAGACAAGCGTAACACCTACTGTCTGAAACAACAGAGACCAACAAATAAACAACGCATCTGCATTGTGATATTATTGTTATTGTTATTATTATCATTATTTTAAACCATATTAATGGGATCTGAACATACTGTGGTTTGTTTTTGAGCAGTATTCATCAATTCTCCACTGAGCTTGACTGACGTTGAACTCATTCAACTTTTTCTCCATGTTTTGTATTTGTTCCGTTAAGTTGTTCCTCTGTGTCTCCAGCTTCTTGTTTTGTGAGGTCAGGTTCTGGTTTTCTGCCGTCAGATCTGTGATCTTCTTGTAATCTAAGACAGTATAGGCTTGTGTCAGATTGTCAAACTGGACTTTCAGATTGTTGTGGTTTTATATCCACACATATGAAACAGTTTAAAAATAAACAAACTTTAATTCAATAATTCAAATGTTTAAATACACTACAAAGATAAGTATGTATCACAAAGCTAGAATTTAAAAAAGTATTTCAAATTTTTTAAATCATGGACTCAGACCTGAATTTAAGCAGCCACATTAAGAAAATTACAAAGTCAGCCTACTATCACTTAAAGAATATATCAGGGGTAAAGGACTTATGTCTCAGCAAGACCTGCAAAAACTCATCCATTTATCTTCAGTCGACTTGACTACTGTAACAGGGCTCCCTAAGAAATCCATCAGACAGCTGCAGCTGATTCAGAACGCTGCTGCTCACTAAGACCAAAAAAGTGGATCACATCACTCCAGTTCTGAGGTCTTTACATTGGCTTCCTGTCTGTCAAAGAACTGATTGCTGTACTGCTGCTGGTTTATGAAGTACTGAATGGTTTAGGGCCAAAATATATTTCTGATCTTGTGCTTCGTTATGAACCATCCAGACCTCTCAAGTCGTCTGGGATCAAGTCTGCTTTCTGTCCCCAGAGTCAAAACTAAACAAGGAGAAGCAGCGTTCAAGTTTTTATGCTATGTACATCTGTAACAAACTCCCAGAAAACTGCAGGTCTGCTGAAGCTCACAGTTCTTTTAAATCAAGACTGAAGACTTTTCTTTTTACCACTGCCTTTAATAAATCAAATGTAAGGCTGTAGATCATTATTGTACTCTGCACTAAGACTTTTACTCTTTTTATTTCCTATCCAACTTTTTGAAATTAATTTTACCCTTTTAAAAAATTATATTTTAATGTGTTTTTTTCAATTTCCCCATGTTGCTTGTATGTTTTATGTAAAGCATTTGAATTGCTTTGTTGTAGAAACTTGCCTTGCCTTAATTGTGCTTCACTCTGACAGAAAATGTAATAAAGTGCTAAAGTCGTCTTTTAAACCCTTGTTGCAGTGTAGTTGCTAAAATGCATTGTTTAATCACCATTATAAAAATATCGTCTAATCCTATTGTTTTGTGAGAGTATGCTTCAGTATTGACAGTAGAAATGTATGTTACTCTATACTTGCTATTAATCTTTTCTTACTCTTAACTCTGGCATGAAGTATATGTAGACAATAATAAAGGGTATTCCTGAGGATGTGAAAATGTGGAGTGTTCAGTTTTAACAGTAGAAATGTGATTGACTTTGACATCTCACTCTTACGTTTTACTAATTTACTATAACATTACTTTGACATCTCAATAGGTAATCATGACTCATTTATGATATGACTGAAGCAATTAATGGGCCCTCTGTGAAAAGGCAGGAAGATAGACATCCATGCATTACGCGCTGGCACGTGATCATGGTCACGGACTGAATGAATGCACACCAGAAAACATCCAATCATAGAGTACTTGACATACTTTGCCTGAGTGGACACCTTAGGATATCCAATCACAAAAAGACATGTTAAAGGACGTGGCAAGCGTGGATCATGCAAAGTACTTTCACATCCTGTCTGTTTCTCTAAATAAGTTGTGGTTTTTAGTATAAGACACATTCCTCTGTTATTTTTTATTTTATTAAAGAAATTTTCTTTGGGCCTGCTACTCAAAGATTCATAGAGAAAGTCTATTGTTTCCTTGTTTCTTCCTCCCCCTGAGTTCAGTGAGCAATTCCAAACTGCCACATGTTCGCACAGGGCCACACCTCACAGCAGGTCATACCAGGCGGTCCTACAGGTCCCTCAAGTTTTCATCTTCTGAGACTTTGCTGAGACACTGGACTGTACATTACAATGGGCAGAATGTGGAATAAATAGTTGCACATTGTTAAAAAAATAAACAAGAACTGTCTAATTACTTACTGTCATGCATACATTTCTACATTTATTATTGTGTCCAGAAACAAACTTTGTTCCTAACCCATTTAGAAAACAATTATAGGCAGAAATCTATAGGTTAAACAACATGTTAATAGGTGTGTCTCATGTCTGAGTCTGAGGTACTGCATAGACTTCCTGTTTTGTATACTTACCGTAGATACAGACTGCTATGATGCCCAACAGCAAAATGACACAAAGAATCCCCAAACAACAAGCCACCTGCTGATAGCAGCGACCTCTGCTGTTTGTTTTCTTGTCTGGAGAGAGTCCTGCTGAGACAAAATATAATTACAGTAAATGGCTTTAGCAGTCCAAGTTAACAGAATCAAAAGGGAAACTTTCAAAGTTAACATATTTTTACTACTAAATTCCATCTACTTTATACTAAAAGGTCAGTAATAAGTAAAAGACAGGAAAGGCACCCATTTGATTTGACTAACTCAGACTGCTAAAGGCACAGAACAAAGACTGTACAGTTCAACACAGCGACATCTTTTTAAACTCAACACCCCAGTGTGTAAGGCCTGTTATAAATTTGCAGCCTCCATGTTAAAACTGAAGGCATCAACAGGTTATTGACAAAGCTCCTGCTGTTGTCACAGGCTGAGCAGTACTCCTCATGACTCATAGACTAGTTCCTTTTAAATGGTAGTAAGAATGGGGACGTTTTGATCGTAGCTAAAGCAGTAATAGCAGTATTACGAAAATATATATTGCAGTAATACTGATTGTTGTGAACATTTTTCTTTACAACTTACTGTTTGTGTCAGCAGTCTTCATTTCTTCGTACACACTATCCTCCTTTTTATCTGAAAGTTTGAAAAACATAATTTGGTGGATGATTTAAAAAGGCTTTTCAAGGTGATGATTGCTTTTGTCTCAGTATCATCTTGGCAACATCCGGTTATAATACTCCTCGTGACTTGTAAACTAGTTCCCTTTAAATGATAGTAATTATGATGAAGTAGTGGTAGTAGTTTAGCAGTAATAGCAGTATTACTAGCAGTATTCCCAGTTGCAGTGACACTGAATTTTGTATACAGATCTTCTTTAAAACTTACCGTTAGTGTCAGCAGTCTTTTTGGTTGTTTTGCTTCGCACATTCATTTCATTGTCCTCCATTTTAGCTGAAAGGTTGAAGAACACAATCTTGTGGTTAATTCCTGTAAGTCTTTTAAAAGGCTTATTAGATTATTTGAAATTATTGCGTTTGTCCCAGTATTTTCTTTTAGAAGGAGAAATAGGACTCTCTTAATGGTCAGTACAAACAGGAGGAATGAATACAGGCAGTAAAACACGTTTTAACATTCACATGGGCACATGACTGTTGTTTTCAGATGGATTTGAAAAACCTTTTCTTTAAGAATTTTTTTTTTTTTCTGTTGTGCTAAAAGTAGTGGAAGCATTACAAACAGTAAGAGAGCATTTCTTTGTACACACTATCCTCCTTTTTATCTGAAAGTTTGAAAAACATAATCTCGTAGTTGATCACTGTATCTTGACAAAGTGTGCTGATTTTAAAAGCTTTTCAAGGTGATGCTTGCTTTTGTCCCAGTATCTTCTTTCAGAATTAAAAGTAATGTTGTGCAAGTTAACCAAATCCAGAGGGTATCTTTCCAAATAAAAAAATAAGAATATTTTAAATACAATTTTTTATACAAATAAGTCAGTTGTAAGCTTATTAGCTTCAGATAAAATGACCTGCAAAGTCCATTCACTACCCTGCACTTCACAGCCACAGCTGTTGCTCTGGCTCTCTCCCTCTTCTACCACATACACACACGCGCTACCTACTTTAAGAGTAAGGGTTACAATTTTGGATTTATTCACGCACTTTAAAAAGAAAAAGACTTTTAAAAACTTCTTTCTTTTACATGTTTATTTACAGCATTATATTTATATTTATATCACAGTTGGATTTATATTAACTTATTTGGAGAAAACCGGTAGTTCTGTGTAAAATCAGATGTTGAGCCAAAATGGTTTAAAACGTAAGAGTGAGATGTCAAAATGAATTTGGATTTGGAAACTTTTACAGACTGGACTAAAATCTTATACAGTTCCCCAAGAGCTGCCTGTCCGGACAAATGATCATACTTCTCCCAGTTTCGGTCTTCAGAGAGCCACAAGATAAGCCTTTATTCAGATGATGTACTTACTTTTCTTCCTTGACTCACAAACTTCTCTTTCTTACATTTACATTTACTCATTTGGCAGACGCTTTTATCCAAAGCGACTTACATTTGAGGAACAACATACAAGCATCAACAGAGCATCAAATACAGATCTACAACTGACCATACGTACTAGTAAGAGCAGCAATAAATACTAGTAAAAGCTCATGGTACATATCACATCAATGGGGTAAATACCTAGGGAAGGAAGCAAGAAATAACAAAAAAGTGCAATCAATACAAGTTCATTGTAGGGGATAGAAGAAGAAGAGCACAGGAAGTGCATGTTAGAGGTTAGGAGTTAGAGGTGTTATAAGAGGAAGTGTTCTCGGAAGAGATGAGTTTTCAAGAGCTTCTTGAAGTTGGAGAGGGACGCCGCTGCTCTGATGTGGTGTGATGTGGTAGCTCGTTCCACCATCGTGGTGTCACAGATGAGAATAGCTGGGACTGGGATTGCTTTGTGTGAAGGGATGGCAGAGCCAGGTGGCATTCGTTGGAGGAGCGTAGCGGCCGAGAAGGAACGTAAGTTTGTATTATGGAGTTTAGGTAGACGGGTGCAGACCCAGTAGTCACTCTGTATGCAGCATTAGTGACTTGAATCTGATTCTGGAGGCCACGGGGAGCCAGTGGAGGTCACTGAGTAATGGAGTGACATGAGTGCTTCTGGGCTGATCGAAAACCAGACGTGCTGCTGCGTTCTGAACCATTTGTAAGGGTTTCACCGCACAAGCTGGAAGACCTGCAAGGAGGGCATTGTAATAGTTGAGGCGAGAGATAACCATGGCCTGTACCAGAAGCTGGGTGGTGTACTGAGAGAGGGAAGGCCTGATTTTCCTTATGTTGTACAGAGCAAAGCGGCACGACCGAGAGACAGCAGCAACATGGTCTGAAAAGGACAGCTGGTCATCAATCATCACACCCAAATTTCTCACCACCCTGGTTGGAGGGATGGTTGAGGAGCCAATTTGTTATTTGATGTTATGGTGGATAGATTGCTTGGCTGGAATGACCAAGAGTTCAGTCTTAGAGAGGTTTAGTTGAAGGTGGCAAGCCTTCAACCATGCAGATATGTCCGATAGACAGTCTGTGATCCGCGCCGAGGTGGGAAGGATAGGTGGAGTTGCGTATCGTCTGCGTAGCAGTGGTAAAAGCCGTGCGAGCGAATGATCGGCCCCGGTGAGGTGGTGTAAATTGAGAGGAGAAGGGACCCTAGCACTGAGCCTTGGGACACCCCAGTGGGAGGAGGATAATTGTCCTTGCCACAAAACATTGTAGGAACACCCCGAGAGGTAGGATTCGAACCACAGGAGTGCTTTACTCGAGATGCCCATTCCTGAGAGAGCGGATAGAAGGATCCTGTGGTTGACTGTGTCAAAGGCAGCTGATAGGTCAAGCAGGATAAGAACCGAAGATTCGGCTGCAGCTTTAGCTGACCTTAGGGCTTCTGTTATGGACAGAAGAGCCGTTTCAGTAGGGTGGGCACTCTGATATATCCAGACTGATATGGATCTAAGAGGTCATTCCCTGAGAGGAATTCTGAGACCTGTTTGAATACTGCCCGTTCAATAGTTTTGGATAAAAAAGGTAGAAGAGACACTGGTCGATAGTTCTCAACTTGAGTTGGGTCAAGTGAGGGCTTTTTGAGCAAGGGTGTAACCCGAGCCCTTTTGAAAGTGGTCGGGAAGGTTCCTAAAGCCAGAGAAGTATTTATCACATGAGTGATTGTCGGGAGGAGATTTGTAGGAATCGGGTCCAGTGGGCATGTAGTTGGACGGCTACGGGTCAAGAGTGCTGATACTTCGCTCTCTGTGAGAGTAGTAAACGAGGAGAGTGAACAACAACTGACATGGGAGGGCAAAAAAATAAGATGTAGTAGGACTGCTACAATGGTTGAGTTTGAGTGTTTCAGAGAATTGGCTACTAAAACTTTGCCTGTGAAGAAGGCAGCAAAGGTATCAGTAGATAAGTTTGTGGGTGGTGGAGGTGGAGGAGGATTTAGTAGCGCTTTAAAAGTGGAAAATAATTTCCTTGAGTCAGTGGCACTGCTTATTCTGTCATTATAGAACGCAGTTTTGGCAGCACTGATGCTTGTTGAGAAGGAGCGATTGGTAGCAGGAGTACAAGTACTCTGCTAAATGCTTTGGATCGCCCTCCGATTTAACAAGGCAAAAACTTGGTTTCAGTGGGTGGGACACACACCCAGTTGTTTGATCTCGCTCAGCCGGCCTTCAGATTCTAGTGGATTGCTCAGTAATAGTGCAAAGAAATAGCACCTCAAGAGTAAGAAAGATAGAGTAAAGTATTACCTCACTGCTGCAAACTCTTATTTGCCCCACGATTCTTGTCCCATGAGTTTGTTCTGGATGCTGGAGTTGGTGCAGTTGTCCTAACCCTTAAGAGATTACTATTATTTCTGTGTGGGATGTGCACATTTCGGTTTACTGGTCTATGCGTGATGATGACAGGAATAGAAGTCTTTGGAACAGCGCTGTGAATGATTAGTCATTCACGTAAGTCATGTGTGGAGGACCACACTACATGCTGTATGTGAGCAGCTAACATTTCTGAGCCCCGTTTGTTTGGGTGAAGTCCGTCTGTCTTAAAAAGAGACATTCTTTGGCAGAAAATATTAAAATTATCCACATAACACACACCATGAACCCTGCAGGCGGACTGGAGCCAGTCGTGGTGGCCAAGGAGTCTACTGAAGCGGCCAGAACCGCGACCAACTGTGGGAATGGGACCAGAGATAAAAACGGACTTTCCACACTGCTTTAAAAAGTTAAAAAGACGGTTAAAATCAGATTTTGTTAGCTCAGACTGCTGAAGAGCTGTGTCATTTGTTCCCACATGGACTATCACTCTTGTGATGGAGGACGGGAGTGACGGCATTAGGTCCCGGAGTTTTTTAAAAATGTCAGCTGTGGTGGCACCGGGGTAGCAATGAGTGGTAGCGTTAAAGAAACAAATGTTTCTGGTTATGGAGTCACCAATTATTAGTGTGGTTGGGGAGAAAAGGGGACTCCAGAGCAGGACTGAGCAGAATCAGCTTCAACACTACGTGCGGACTGAGGATGGAGTGTGTGAGCTGATGAGTGTTGTGTTGGAGTAGCAGTAACAGACCTGAGAGAAGGGCTACCCACCGGTCCAGCGTCTGAGCACATCCTCCTTCAGGATCCTACGTCGGGAAGTGGAGGTTTTTGACCGATCAGGCCCAGCGGCAGACCGGCGGCTCAGTCGATCACGTTTGCCTCCAGTGCAGGAGATGTAGCCGGTGGAGGAGATGCAACAGTGTCGGCAGGCACTGTCCGTCGAAAGAGATCTGTATCAGGGAGATTCGAAGCCACAAGTGCATCCGCTGGATGGACCGGAGTGTCCTCAAACAGGACTGCATAGCGGTTGGAGAGGCGGATGTGTGGAGGAGAGGAAGCCCTGTCCGAGCCTCTCTTGCAGCCACGGTCCACCACTTCAGCCCAGGTTGAATGATGCTTCGGAGTCGCACAAGAGGAAAGCCGTGGAAGGGTCCCATAGCACGGTGTCCTAGATGTTAGTGGTTGAGCTAAGAGAAACAATCTGTTTGGCTTGTACTGAAGTCACATCCATAAAGCCAGTCAGCAGGGAATCTTTCTCTTTGAGTTCCTCTGAAAGTCGTCAGATGTCTTCCATAAGGTCAGCAATCTTTTTGTTTGCTTTCTTAAGGTGTGTGCAGTCCTCATGGGGCAGAGTTATCTCGGCTAGCATAGTTACCGGAGCTTTGTTGTGGTCAGTAGCATTGATGGTGTTTTTACGGTCATGTAGCTTAAAATCCATGTCGGATGACTAAAATCCTTAACCCACGTAAAACTTAAGTTAAAAACTTAGGTTAAATAAAAAGGATATAAAACGAAAAAGTGTGGATTAAAACTGGATAAGAGTCCGGTTTAAGATGGAGCTTCCAACAGGTAGCCACAGACGCCAACACATGCGCAGAGTACAGATTACGTCACCAATTACGTCAGCGATCTTGTGACTTGACATACAGCGAGTTTCACTTCAGAGTAAGGGCTTATGGCTTGGGCAGTGGCGACACTGCTATATATACAATACACACATATCGGTTGCAACCTCCTATTGGTTGGCTACGTGCAACATTCAAGATTCACTGGATGCGTCTGTGCTAAAAGAACCAGGGTTACCATATTGTAACTTTCATATTGGAGCTGCAGATTAAAACTAAGAAGTTTCGGAAATGGTAGCTGGTGACTTAAACATCATTGACATAATTAAAAAAGGCAATTCTAGTGGATTACAGTTGGTAAAAAGATTCACATTTGAAGTAAACTTTTCATTTCAGATGACACAATCACTCTCAACAGTTGACCAATTTAATAGAACTGATAGGACACAGAATCTGATCCATACCAATAATGTGATGGACTAAAAAGTCACTTCAAAAAACTACACTTACCTTCAGGTGGGGAATGCTTGTTAGTTTTCAATATAACTGAAGCATAGCTGACCTGCTCCTCTGCCATCACAGTCCTTCTGTTGAGTTATATCTGACTTGTAGACAGAGAAGTAAACCACAGAGCATCCTCAAAAGAGAACTGGTTGTTTCCTCTGTTCAGCTGAGTCTGTCACTCACTGCCTTGATGTGACCAACTTGTGCTTTTTGATGAGAAAGAAATTCGTATCCATTTGTGGCTGGATATGAACATCAAACCATATACAGTGTCTTCTTGAAATGAATAACATACAATATTACAAACAATGTACATGCATTAAGAGGTTTGCTAATATTTTACTGTGTGTTGCAGTGTCAGGAAACACAGTTCATGCTGCCTCCACAATAACCCCTCACCTAATCGTGAAAAGGTGGTTTTCACACTTGGCTGATGCAACTTCTTTGTGTAGCAATTAGTGTCTGCAATATACGCTCACACACTTTTACACTTTAACAAACTGAAAGTTGGTAGTATAACTTTACATAAAAGAACATAAGTGAAGCAAATCCACCCTCCATCCTGGTCCAGGACAAAATATCTCAGCAGCTGCTGTCCCCAATGCTACTAAAATGGATTTTCATGACCTCCAGATGATGATTCTTAATGATTTTGGTTAATGATTTGTTATTTTTCATCTAGAGCATTACTTATAGGCCAATATCGGTTTTCTTTTTGATTAAGTATCTCCGAAATGACAGGTTTGGTTTCAAGTTTGGATGTAAAGTTTAGCAGCCAAAAGGAGCTTTACAGCGTACCAATTTTATCTTTTACAGAGAACTGTGTAGTTTTTAGTTTTGCTTTCAAGTTGTTGTTTGCTTAGAGGTGAATGCTTAGTTGATGATGGGAAGTCTTAAGCCACACTATTTATCTTCTACATCTTCTCACGCTGCTGCACACACAACATATAATTAGGTGTAGGCCTGCGTTAAAATATGTTAACATATAAAATAAAAATAATACAATAAAACAATATTAGCAGATATTTATGTGCAGATATTTATATGCAATACAGATATTTATATGCATCTGGACTGAATGTAAACAGCAGCAAGAAGATAATATCAAAGTTTCATCTTCCCCAAAAATAGTCTGACATTTGGGAATCAGAGTTCCCCTTCGAGGGAACTCGAACTGCGTCGGTGACGACACTATGGGAACGCCTCTGGACGTGGCAGGGCTGAAATCATGAATGAAACTACTCCAATCCGATTGCCGTTGCTAGAACGGTAGCGTGTGACGGCATAACTGGAGGCGTATATACAGTAAGCACCCCGGCACACCGGACACATTAGCTTTTTTCTATTCAGCAGGCACTCTTGCATGTTCGAGACTACTCAAAAAAGCAAGCACGAGAGGAAGTTTTCATACCTGGAAGGAGAAGCAGGCAGCTCTCGAGCGGGCCATTGCGAGGCCCTGCCCCTGAGGGTGCTGAGGTCCCGTGCGGCTCTCTTTTCCGAAGACGGCCAGATGCGCTCACCCCGTGGCTCGGGCCCGGCGGTCGCTGAGGCAGCGTGGTGGCTCATTTGCATGACGAGTTGTGCAAATCCTGGGGCAAGCCCTTCTCAGCTCTGACTACTCCCCCGCTCTGGGTTTACAGCAATGTTGCGGGGGTTAAGGGCTTCGGCTATGGGACGATGCCCCGAGTTGAGGATGCTTTGGCAAGCTATCTCTCGCCTGTTCTTGCGTCATCCCTTAAAGAGCCGGCGCTGCTTACCAAGCCATGTCGCGTGACATCTGCTCTGGTGCAAGCCTGCACACGATGGTGGTTTTGCAGGCATACCAGGCCGACCTGCTGAGGGACATGGGAGGGGGCCCCTCTGAGGAGGACATCGCTGAGCTCCACAGAGCTACGGATTTTTCTCATAGTCACAAAGGAGACGGCCCGCTCCATGTCGGCGCTGGTGGCCGCGGAGCGGCACCTGTGGCTCAACCTGTCGGGCATCCAGGAGAGGGAGAAGACCTTCCAGCTTGACTCACCGGTCGCAACCTCTGGCCTGTTTGGCGATGCGGTGGACGCCGTCGTCAGCAGGTTTCAGCATGCCAGGACGCAAGGCGAGTGGCAGAGCCTTGTGAACATTTCCCCGTGGGTCCTGCGCACCGTAGTGGATGGCTACAGGCTGCAGTTCCGGGTCCGCCCCCCACAGTTTCAACGGGGTGGTCTGGACTGCGGTGCACTCGGAGCAGAGCCAGGTGTTGGGACAAGAAGTTCGCTCTCTGCTGGATAAAGGGGCCATAGAACTTATTTCCCTGCCAGTCAGGGAGTCCGGGTTCTACAGCCGGTACTTCATAGTTCCGATTTTAGATCTGCGGTCCCTGAACCATTCAGGTTCAAGATGCTCACCATCCCCGGCATCATTAGCCACATCAAATCCGAGGATTGGTTTGTCACGATAGACAGGAAGTTCCTGAGGTTCGCCTTCAGGGGTGCGGCGTACCAGTGTCAGGTTCTTCCATTCGGCCTAGCACTCTCCCCTTGCACGTTCACCAAATGCATTTATGCAGCTCTGGCCCCGATGAGGCTCCAAGGCGTCCACATACTACATCGACGACTGGCTCATTTTGGCTCAGTCTCGGGAGTTAGCGGTTCGGCATTGAGATGTCGTCCTCGCCCACCTTCAGCGTTTGGGGCTGCGCCTCAACGCAAGGAAGAGCGTGCTGGCGCCCGCCCAACAGACTACATTCCTAGGGGTGGTGTGGGACTCGACGATGATGCGGACCCACCTGCACGCGCCGGGTTCATTTTGTCCTCAGTGACCAGAGTGAAGCTTGGCCGCACCATCACCACTTTCAGAGGGTGTTGGGTCTCATGCCGGCAGCGTCCAATGTAATCCCATCTGGCCTACTGCACATGAGAGCCCTGCAATGGTGATTAAAATCCAAGGGATTCTCCCTGAGGGGAAATCCATTTCGTCTGATACGGGTTACGAGCAGGTGCCTTCGTTCCCTGTCAGTATGGAGGAAACCTTGGTTCCTGTCCCAGGGTCCCATGTTGGGAGCGTCATGTTGCCGGACAATTATTTCAACAGACGCCTCGCTCACGGGGTGGGGCGCGGTTATGGACAGCCGCTTTGCGAGCAGAGACTGCTGTCTCTCAGAGCGACGTATATCCCGGGGACCCAGAATCAGGGAGCAGACCTGCTGTCGAGACAGGGGCTGAGGCCTGGGGAATGGAGACTCCAACCCGAGGTGGTGGAGTTATTGTGCGAAAGGTTTGGCACTGGTTTGTCCAGTGTGGTCCCTCTGAGGAGAGACCTGCTGTCTCAGGCGGAGGGCCAGGTCTTTCACCTTTGCCCTGCCCTGTGGAGACTGTGGGTCTGGCCCCTGAGGGGGCCCAGTACCTTGAGGCGGGCCTGATGGCACGAACAGTTGAGACGCTGCTCAGCTCCAGAGCCCCGTCCACGAGAAGGACGTACGGCCTGAAGTGGAATGTATTTGTCACCTGGTGTAGAGAATGGGCGGTGGACCCAGTTACCTGCCTGGTGACTATGGTACTGGAGTTCCTCCAGGAACGTTTCTCTGCTGGCCTTTCCCCATCCACACTCAAGGTGTATGTGGCTGCCATGGCAGCGTTCCACGCCCCTCTGAGGGATTGGGCCTCTGGGGAGGCTTCCACTGTTTGTGCGCTTCCTCCGTGGAGCCTGGAGGATGAGACCCGTGACTCCCACTTGGGACCTGGCAGTGGTTCTCAAAGCGCTGGCTGAGGCCCCTTCGAACCGCTGGAGTTGGCTGAGGCCAAGCACCTGACCCTTAAGATGGCCTTTCTCCTCGCTATAACCTCTCTGAGGAGGGTGGGGGATCTCCAGGCACTTTTGGTTTCTCCTCAATGCCTGGTTTTTGCCCCGGGGAGGGTCATAGCCATCCTGCACCCCTGTCCGGGCTATGTCCTTAAGGTTCCGTCCAGGTTGGCAGGGTCTACAGTGCTGCAGGCATTACATCCCCCACCTCATGTGACAGCGGAGGAGACTTCATCTGCTCTGCCCGGTCAGAGTATTTTCACTCTGAGGTCCTCCCAGTGGATGAAAGCAGACCAGTTGCTGGTGTGTTTTGGATCCCCCAAGACTGGGCTTCTAAACACACGATCAGCAACTGGATCGTTCAGAATTTCCCTGGCCTATGAGTTGCGCGGGTTACCTTCACCTATGGCCGTAAGGGCGCACTCTACTCGAGGCATGGCGGCCTCTAGGGTCCTCCTCGCAGGGGCTTCGCTCCAGGATTTGTGTGAGGCAGCTGGCTGGGCCACTCCTCACACTTTCATCCGGTTTTACAGTCTGTACCTTCCTTCTGCACGCGGCACCCGTGCGCTCTCCTCTTAGTCGTGCCTAAGGTTACTGCACGTTGGGGGGGCAGGTGGAGGCTTCGGCGTGGAATAGTGGGTATTCTTGTTCCCATAGTGTCGTCACTGACGCAGTTCGAGTTCCCTCGAAGGGGAACGTCTCGGGTTACATATGTAACCCTTGTTCCCCGAGAAAGGTTAGAGCGAGACACTGCGTCGGTCCGCCACACCTCACCCCGCCTGGAGTGCCTTGCTTCATAGCAAAGAGCTAATGTGTCCGGTGTGCCGGCGTACTTATATACGCCTCCAGTTATGCCGTCACACGCTTCCGTTCTAGCAACACCAATAGGATTGGAGTAGTTTCATTCATGATTTCAGCCCTGCCACGCCCAGAGGCGTTCCCATAGTCCCACAGACGCAGTGTCTTGTTCCCCTTCTCAGGGAACAAGGGTTACATACATAACCCGAGACGTTCATCTTGGACCACCTGCTGAGTGCTTGATCAGGAATGTTGATGGGGCAGGTCTCTGTAACAATGTGGGCACAGCAGTCTCTGAACTCCATTGTCTGGTCAACATGAGTCCCATTTTGTCCAGACTGGATCTTTAGGAGCAGAATTAAGTCCAAGCTTGGCCAGCATGGCTCCTCTCCTGGTCTGGTGGTTTGGGCTGGGTGGATCGTGGTCTGCTGCACTTAATCAAAAAACCCCGTCTTCATCTTCCAACGACTGTATTTATGTCAGAGGTAATGCATGTTTTGGCAATAACCCGGAAAAAACAGGTAAAAACAAAAGTGTAGCGAAGTTTCAAGGAACTACTGCCTGCTGCTTCT